CATGAATAACGTTGTAAAGAGCACGCTTGAAATCAATGAAAATTAAGTAAAACGGTAATTTGTACCTATCGCATATCTGTTTGGTTCGTTGATATTCCTATTTGGGCGATAAGCGCAAATGTATTTAGATAGGAGATTTGGTGTGGAAGCGAGGATGTGGTTTTTTAGAAGAATCATAAATACCTTGGACACTATAGATGTAAGAGCAATGGTTCTATAATCCTTAAATTTGATAGGGTTCGGGATTTTGGGGAAGTTGTAAAAAATAGTCATATTCCAAACTCCTGGCATCTTTCCTGTGAGCCAAATCTTATTGAACAACCTCAGCAAGAGCTGAGAGACCTCTGAGGGGGCTGCTTTCAATGTTCCCCTAAGATATTATCAGGACCTGAAGATTTATTATTCCTAAGTTTATTTATGGCATTCATAGGCGTAGCCAGGATTTTCCTAAGGGGGGGGGGAATTAAAAAAGTACTGGGGCTTCACTCCCAGACCCCATTTTGGAGGGTCTTCGGCCCGCTTTTGCCCGGCATTCGGCCGGGTTACCTTAGTCTATATATAGTCATAAAATATTTTTACAAGATAGGAGGTTAATTTTAATAAAAAAAATAAGCCTGGAACAAATATGAAATATATTTTTATTAGTTTATATAAAATATAATAAATGACTTGTAGATACATTAATATAAAAGCATGGTAATAATTTATTCCAAACAAGTATAAGAAATTTATTTATAAAAAGTAAGTAGTCATATAGTCGATATTTTTCTATTATATAGAATTAGTTACAAAAAACTAGGTAAAATTCCACTTTTACAGACATAAAGAATATATTATATTTTAACATATTTTACTAATCAATGCGCTTGATAATAAATATAGCCACAATTAGCATTTATTTATTTAACGCCATCCATTTGTTTTGAATAAAAAATGATATTAAAAATTAATCTTCATATTATTTATACCACAATGTCTTTAAAAGATTTTTTCTGATGTCCTTATCAATATTTTATAGTTTTCTGTAAAATATATAATCCGCTATATTGGTAAAAATTACTTTGTCATATGATAATTGATAAAATTAGATATACTGTAAATCTACGACATATAATATTACACTGTTTGTATTGTGCTTTAATTTTTTTATTTAATTTATGATTTAATTTTATCAATAGTTTTATAATTATATTTTAGTTTTATTAAGATAAATAAATTAAAATTACTAACTTATAAAAAATTATATTTGATATATTATATTATTTATTTTATACAGATTATATTAAAAATTTATTCTAAATAACTATATTTAAAATAATAGAATTACAATAAAATATGAGTTATTATTGTGCGGTATTTTAAAAAATCTAATTTAACAATTATAAATATAATTAATAAAATGAGTATATTAATAAAACATAAATAATTCTTATTATTGATCCACAAAAGTAGGGAAATCGGGGGGTTGGGTCGGGCCTTTTAAATTTTTTAAAATATATCTAAATTTATCAATTTTATGTTAAATTTTTTATGTAAAATAAAAATATTTGATTTTATTTAAAAAACTAGACACCATATAACACATATCTTTTATTTTGAGTAATTATAAAAATGAATTTCTATATTTAAATAAATTAGGGAGGCCGAAAAAACTTTTTAAAAAAAATTTCGGGTTCGGGCCGGCAAAACCTTTTTAAAATAATTTCGGGCAGGGCCAGATCACTAATTCTTAGTACAAATGCAATATTTTTATTAAAAATAGTATAATATATAAATATTATGACTAAGAATTCATTATAAATACGTTTTGAATATAAAAATTTTATGACCAAGATCATATTATAAAAATATAGCAATTTTATAATTTGAATTTATAAAGAGAGGTCTACTTTTCTCTGAGATTTGACTAATTCATCTAGAATCAAATTTTTATCTAGAATAATCTCCTTATAAATATTTAATATTGAGAATCAATTTAAACGGCTTTCACCGGTGCTATTTCTTAAATAGGTTTATAACCTTTTCAAAGATGAAAAAGACCTTTCATTAGCTCAGGTGCTAATCGGTAAGGTAGCTAAGATAAAAAGCAATGTTTTGATATTAGGCAGGGAATCTAAATGCAATTATACATGGAAAGGGCATGCAAAGCATATTTTGGTCTCAAAGACTACTCTATTCTGTCAACATTTTTATTCCAAAATTCGACATCATAAAGTAATTTATCATACGATCCTGATAATTCATCAGAATAAAACTTTGAGATTTTCTTAATATCCTCTCGCGTTTCGAGTGTATTTAGACTCAACCGGCAAAAGAAAATAAAAGCTGTTTAAAATAAAATTATGGCTAATAAATCTTTCCTTTAATAGAAATAAAAATGTATCAATAAGGAAAAAAAAGTTTCCATAATTTATTACTCCACTATAAAAGTCATAAATAAATATTATATATATTATTAATATATTTAGTATTAATAAATGTTTATTTTTTCCAAATAAATTAAGTTATTAACCTGGTATTTATATATTGTCAATTTATAAATACTAATTTTTTGTATATTACATTAATATATTGGCCATCATATAAACTCTATCTTAATTAAATATTACCAATAAAACACTAATATTTTGTTTATTTAGTGTATTTTTATATGGCCAATATATAAACTCTATCTTTTTTAGATATTATCAATAAAAAACTTATATTTTGTTTATTTAGTGTATTTTTAATTAAATATAATGTTTATTTTTAATTTTTTAAATATATTATAAAAATGATTTATACAAAATAACTTATAGAGCAATAAATATGTTATTAATTTTTTCACAATTGTTATTGCCTAATGTGCCTAATATAATATAAATCAATTTAAATCCTAAACATGGTATTTATATATTCAATTTATAAATACTGATTTTTTGTAAATTTAAAAGCATGGCAAACAATATATCTTTCTTTCTTATAAAAATTCATTCATAGTAAAGAAAGGTTTTTTTTAATTATTTATATTTTAAATAAAAACTTTTACATTCACATTTTTGATAAGTGTTCATATCAAATTAATAGGTTTTAGAATTTATATTTTTAAAGTCTTCTTTAAATATTAATAAATGATTTATTTTAAGTATTTATACATTGCATAGACAGATTGATCATTTATATTTGCACGTGCAGGATTTGCATTCACTGTTTGTCAGAATTTACCCTACTGTATGGGGCTGGTTAATTAAAGAGGGATGACGGTACCACTAGTAGATTTATATCCACTGTTTGTCAGTAATTTACGCTACTGTCAGGACCCGTTTAATTAAAGAGGAATAACGGTACTTCTTTAAAGATAGAGCATAGTTTATTGGCAAGAATAGTATAATAATATAATAACAATAAATTGTGTGCTTATTTTTTATAGAGATTTTATTTTATTAGATTAGTTTAGTTCTTGTTATTATTTTGTAATAAATATGAATTTTAAAATCCAAAAATATTAAAAGATTAAAAGGTAACTTTTATGATAATTATTAGATTTTTGTTTTTATGATTTCGTAACAAATATTTTATTATTTTTTTTACATTAGTTTTCTATTATGAAGTTGTTCGAATTTTGACGATAAATCGTCAAAAATATTTCAAACATTTTTGAGAAAAGCTGTTAAATGATTTGGGCAAAACTCCAGTACCATCTATAATATTTTATCTTATAAAAATAAAAATGAAAAAATACAATATCACGAATTAGTTTCAAATTTAGCTAAATAAGTAAAAACTATAGTAAAAATTGAGTGTATGTTTATATAAAAAGTTAATATAAAGGAGATTATAAGACATTTATTATTAAATAACAATAAAATGATCATTAGAAGTTAAGGATTTTAAAAATAGCCTTTTAATTTTCTTTTATCAAATTAATATTTTATCACTTGGAAAAAATCTTACCCCGCCCTTACCCCCACCCTACTTACATTTTTATGACGTTATCACGTCATACTCTCCTCCCATCCAAGATACATGGCACTGGTTAAACAATAAAAAAGTTCACGATTCCCACATACTATCTTCATTTTTATTGTTGATTCGGGATTTTCTTGTTAATTTTAGATTTTAAAGATTGAATTCGTTTCTTTTAAAAATTATTTAAGAGTGAGCGATTCCAACTTGAAAAAGGTTATCGAGTTTCTTGATGCAATCAGTTCAGAAGTTTGAGGGAGCTAAGATTGATTAAATACCACAGAGATATTTTTTTGTACTCTGCAATGTCCATAAAATATAAGCGTGAGAAAGGAAAGGTAAAGGTGTTTTTAGAATTTACTATAGTAAAAAAAAAATATCCAAATTTAATCTTTTTATAAATCATTTTTACAAGCTAACATAATTTAAAGATTAACCATTACGCACTGTAGAATAATAAAACTCTAACCTCTTTAATAAATAAGGAAAATAATTTTATACCATTCATAAATAATAGCAGACATCTGTCATAAAGTGTAAGTATAGAAAATATCAATCTGTCATTCTTAAATTGTTATCTTGTTAATTTTTAAATAAAAGTAATATTTTTTAAATCATCGGCTGCTTTTTTTGTGAAATAAGGTAGAATAAATTGTATACAGACATAAAGTTAATAACCACCATCAACAGGTTATATTTTTTTTTTCTGCTTTTGGAGTTCATATTTAGGGAACTAATTATTCACCACTATATCTACTTCTACCCTCTATCTATGCTCAATCTTTAAAAAGGTACTATCATCTCTCTATAATTAAACGGGCCCTAACCGTAGGGTAAATTATTGCCAACCAGTGTACTCCTGAGTACCTTGCACTGGGCATGCCTGAAAGGGTGAAGGAATCCCCTTTAATTAGTGGGTATCCCCAATGTACTATACAATTTTCAATTTAAATAATAATATTTTTTTATAACTCAAGAATATACAAATGATGGAAGATGATATTGAAACTAAATATTATGAAAAACTCAATTTACTTAAAAAAGAATTCCTAATAAGCAATGATGAAAAAAATAAGTTAAATTTTGAACTTTTGGAATTAAAAATGCTACATGAGCAACAGATTGTTGAATATTCAAAATATATTAGTAAATTAAAAGCTTTATATTCTAAGCAAGTTAGTTAAAATTATTTCACTTTATCATTTTTTGTTATATAGATAAAATCTATCAATGATGACAAACAATCTACTATTTTAAAATTAAATCAAGAAATACATCAACAAAAAAAGTGCTCTTATGAGATGACAAACATAATTGAAAATTTACAGACAAAACTTTCTAATTTTTTGAAAAAAATTGATAATTATGAACTTGAAATTAATAAATTTAATCGTAACGAAGTTCATTTACACAGACTTAAAACAGAAAATAAGGATATAATTGAGAAGAATACTAACCTTCAGGTTATTCTTAATATTTTGATCCACTTTAAAATTAGGTTAGTCATCAATAGAGTCCTTAAACATGGAATTACAGAAATCTCAAAAAAATGTCAAAAATCAGAATGATATCAACTTTGAAATGAATAGCAAATTAAAACACTTGCATGAAGAAAATGAAGAATTCAAACATCAAATATCAGTTTTGAATCATAAGTTTAGATAAATACAATATATAATCAAAAAAATTGTGATAAATTATATATTCATTCTTTAATAATTAATGATAGTAAGACTTCTAGACTCACAATTAGTCATTAAATATTATAGATAAGGGTGGATCGATACCTTCGAAGGCCGATCCAATCCAATAATCCCAATATTAAATTGATATCTGTCGATAACCTATCCGATATCATATCTAATTTTGTATTCTGTAAAATACCAATGATTACTTTTTATTAGTATAACATCTATAATTTAACTATGCCATCACATATGTCATTTAAATATATTATTTTTGTAAATTATCTTTTATTTTATTTTTATAACTTAACTTTTCCGATCCGATAATCCCAATATTATCTGTCGATTACCTATCCGATATCATATCTAATTTTGTATTCTGTAAAGATACCAATGGTTTTAATTCTTAACATATTTTTTATTAGTATAACATATATAATTTAACTATACCATAACATATGTCATTTAAATATATTATTTTTGTAAATTATCTTTTATTTTATTTTTTAACTTAATTTTTATTTTTATACAAATAATAATGATTCATAATATAAAAAAAATTTACATATTATATATATAAAAAAATAATATCACAACAAAAATACATAGACAACATCAATGTTAAAATATAAAAAAATGTGACCTTAACCACGTACAAATAATAATAAAAAGAAAAATATAACTCTTCTTACTACAACACGCTCCCCCCCCCCTTCAAAAAAAACTATTGTTTACTCATATTATCCTGAATATGTCCCACACCACTCTTGCTCCAACAATAACTCCTCCAAGTCTTCCATTATGTCCTTCATACCTCGTCTCTCATCCATTGCACCAATATTGCGCCTTTCGTCTGGTAATCTAGTATCGGATACACACTCAACGGGGTCTCACTTGTGATCGCCATTACTGGCCTTATTTGCTTCTCTGTATCCGTTCCCTTTCTTCTGGTCAATCCCATCATATCTGAACAACCGACTCCCCTTACCGTACTTGAACACGGTCATCTTGAACATTCCCCTCAGCCAAACATCGTCCTGTCAATTCCCTTCTACGCATCACATGAGAAGAGTTATATGTTTCTTTTTATTTTATTTGTACGCGGTTAAGGTCGCATTTTTTTTAACAATTCCCTCTTTAAACTATTTCTATACTAATCTCTTCCGTAATTGACCTCTATGCCTTACCCCTTAACTGATATCATCAAATTTTATCCTATAAAATTTGTTTACCAAATTTTCTATTACTACACCTTTCTCCCATTTTTTTGAACTTCCATATAATCTAATCATACTAATTGTCCAACCGTATATTCCAATTCCCTTCTATCTATATCCTCTTTACAGCCGTTTTACTAGGTACTAACTTATCCAAAAACATCCTTACCTTCCGACCTATCATTTTTTTCTGCTATCTTTTCCCAACACATTATTATAATACAAATGCTTCACCCATATTTCTCCCTTTCCACTTTTTGTCTTCTTCAACCATCCTTTAACCGTCGCTACCATCCGTTCCGCCTGTCCATTAGAACTGGGATGATACAGTGGCGCTAACACATGATATACACCCGTTCTCTCACAAAACCTCTTGAATTCCTCACCGATAAAAGCTGGTCCTCCATCCGATACCACAGTTTTTGGAATACCAAACTTTGACCATACTTTTTTAAAATGTTTAGTCACAATATTTTTTGTAACTCAATTTCTTCAAATTCATTTGGAGAATGCATCTACACTCAATATATATACTTTTTTCCTTCATATTCGAAAAAATCAACATGAATTCTCTCACCTGGTCGTACACCTTCATGTACCATTTTTATCCTTACGGGGCATGTCGGACTGCATTGCAAATCTCACATTCCTTTCCCAACTTGTCAATATCCTCGTTCATTCTTGGCCACCATGCGTATTCTCTTTAGTGATCTGGGCCCGAAATTTTTTTAGAAAAGTTTTGCCGGCCCGGCCCGACGAAATTTTTTTTAAAAAATTTACCAACCCAGCCCGGCCCGAATTTATTTAAATATAGAAATTAATCTTTATAATTACTCAAAATAAAAGACATATGTTATATGCGTTTAGTTTCAATAAATAAAATCAAATATTTTTATTTTACACAAAAAATTCAATATAAAATTGATAAATATATATATATTTAAAAAAATTTCCGAAGTCCGACCCGACCCGGCCCGTTTTTTTAAATATTAGGCCCGAGTCCGGCCCGAAACCCGTTTGGGCAGGGCCGGGCCGGGCCTTACTTTGCAGATCTCTATTTCTCTTCCCCATTACTTCATACGAGTAATCATTGATGATCCGCATGTATAACATTCAAAATTTTTTCCCTCAAGCTCCCGGGTATAACGGCTCGGTGTCCCCTCATGACACAATCGTTCACTACAGTTTCTGTTATTTTTGAAAACTTTATCATCATCTTTCCATGACCTTTTCCCCATTAGACATAATTTAACTACCTCTAATTCTCTATCTTTCCTTGTATACTTTTTATATCTTCCCATGTAGTATGTCTACACCTTATACCTCGCATTACTATACTACCAGACATTCTTCCCGATTATCACTTTTCAATACAACAGATTCATTCATGCTTTCCCCCGTTCTGAATCTCGACAAAATATGAGTAATTGATTCTCCTTTCCCTTTCGATACTTTAAGTCCAAATCAAAATTTCCTAATAACAATAACCATCGCTGAAGTCGAGGCGACAACATCAATTCTTTGTTATCTTTTTTAAATAAATGTATTAATAGCTTATGATCTGTAAAAACAACAAACTTCCTACCTATAAGTATTCGCGACGCTTCGTTAGCCCAAAAATCACAGCCAAAACATCTTCTATCACTGAATATCGTTTTTCTACCTCTCTAAATACTCTCGAGAAAAATAAAAAAAGGTCTTTTTATTCCATCTATTAGATACAACATCGCCCCACCTACTCCCCTATTACATGCGCCTACAGCCAAAATTACTTCCAAATCACTATTAAAACACACAAGAATTGGCTCTCTCCCAATTCTCTCTTTTAATTTTCTGAACGCAATTTCTTGTTCATCTTCCCATTCATAATGTATCCCTTTCCTTAATAATTCATACAAAGGAGCAGCTACTTCCGCAAAATTCGATATAAACCGAGGGTAATAATTAACCATTCACATAAACGATTGGACCTCTACTTTACTGGTCAACTTATTCAATTTCGCAATACTCAACAAATTTTTATCCAACGGTTTAACCTCCATTCCATTAATTTTATGACCCAAAATGTCACTTCAGTTACTTCCAACTCACTCTTTTCACGACTAGCCTTTAATCCTTTATTTCAAATTCTAATAAACTCTTCTTCCAAGCCTATCATGCTGTTTCATCGTTATTCCAACAACCAAAACATCATCCATATAATAAAAAACACCCTCTTAACCTTGGAAAACAGCAGCCATTGTATGCTGAAAAATAGGGGCTGATACACTTAACCCAAACGGTAACCGACAAAAAGTAAATCCCTTGAAAGTCGTAATCGTCCACAACTTCCGAGTCGTTTTTGCCATCAGTAATTGCAAATATGCCCACTAAAATTCAATCTTGGAAAAATATTTTCCTCCTTTTAGACTGGACAAAATTTTTTCTATTCGCGTTAACGGGTATTTCACCTCTACAACCCAAGGATTCATTGTCACCCTGAAATCTGCGCACAACCTCAACTTTCCATTGGCCTTTCTCACACAATGAAGTTGCCCATTCGCTGTAACTAATTGGACAAATAATTCCTTCTCGCACCCAGTTATTCAACTCTTTTTCCATTTCCGCCCTCCATTCAAATAGAACTCTTCGTACCGGACAATATTGCTGTATAAAACCTTCCTTTAAACGGAGGTCAACTTCATAATTCACTAAACATCCTAATTTCTCCTCAAAAATTTCACTATAATTATTCATTAAAATTGACACGGCACTTCGCCAATTCAAATTCGACAATTGTTCCTTACCTTCCCCTACATTACTCTCTTCCTCTTTTTTCCTTACAAATTTCTCCGGGAATTTTTGTAACATTGGTATATCCTTCTTTTCATTATCCAGCTGCACACTTCTTTACTAATAATTTTCTCCTCTGTTTCTCTTGCATTGGTTACTATTTTTATTTCATCATTATTTCCCGCATTAACACACTTCCTGCAAGGTATTTCTTTTTTTACATCTCTATGTTTGTCATTTTCTATAATATTAACACTTTCCCACAACTCTTTATATTTTTCCTTTCTTTTTTTAATTGGCACTATCCGCGTTTGAGAAATATTCGTTTTTACAAACTCATTTTCAAAATTACCCGTCATACCTTTTCCAATGATTTCATTCTTTATATCACTTAATTTTTTATTTCCCAGTATTTTGAACTTCAACCATTTCATCTCGTTTAATTTCATTTGAAAAAAATACCCCAAAAATTATTTAATGAACCAATCTTAACAATCCATTCCCATCCCATAATCGTCTTCACCTTTTTTTATCAACAACCCACAAATTTAAATAATCAACTATACCATTTATCACAAACGGTATTTCAATTTTTCAAACTGTCTAACTATCATCTCCTCTAATTATACTCTCTTCCGGCCAATATTCACAATAATTTTCATAACTTACAATCGATATCGCAGCACCTTATTCAACAACATAGATATTTCTCTACTTCCTACAACTATTTCTACACGAGGACATTTATCCTTCTCACTTTTGCCCTCTAATTTTAAAATTGAAATTCTATAATTTTTCATATTTTCATCATTTACCAAATTTATATTTCTTATCTATTAATTTCCTTTAACTTTTTTATTGCTACCCTCTGGAAATCTCATGTCAGTCTTTGATGTAATAACCCCTATTATACTATTTTCGCTATCATTTAGTTACCGCTCCAGACATTCTATCTCCCGATGTCCTCCATTCCTACATTTG